ATTGGATTTGTTTGATGGTGTTTAATTTCTTGAGTTCTTTATATTCTGGATGTTAGCCCCCTGTAGGATGTAGGGTTGGTAAAGATCTTTTCCTGGTCTGTAGGCTGTCATTTTGTTCTGTTGACAGTATTTATTAATTGTTTATTTATTTATTAATTGTTACTCTTAGAGCCTATGTTGTTGGTGTTCTGTTCAGGAAGTTGTCCCCTGTGCCAATGAGTTCAAGGCTCTTCCCCACTTTTTCCTCTAACAGATTTAGTATGTCTGATTTTATGTTGAGGTCTTTGATCCCCTTGGACTTTACTTTTGTGCAGGGTGATAAATATGGATATATTTGCTTTTCTCTACATGTAGTCATCCAGTTAGACCAGCATCATTTGTTGAAGATGCTTTCTTTTTTTCCATTGTATGGTTTGGTTTCTTTGTCAAAAATCAGATATCCATAGATCTGTGGGTTTATTTCTGGATCTTCCAATCAATTCCATTGATCAATCTGTCTGTTCCTATGCCAATATCATGCTGTTTTTATTACTATTGCTTTGTAGTAGAGCTTGAGATCAGGGATGGCAATATCTCCAGTAGTTCTTTTATTGTACAGGACTGTTTTAACTAACCTGGGTTTTTGTTTTTCCATATGAACTTGAGAATTGTTCTTTCAAGGTCTGTAAAAACTGGCCCTACTTGAAACTCATCCCATTTGAGAAAACCACCTCCCTGACACTATTAATGTTACTCTGCTATGCTTATAGATAGTAGCCTAGCATAACTCCTCTGAGAGGCTTCACCCAGCAGCTGATGGAAACAGATGCAGAGACACACAACCAAACATTAAACAGAGCTCAGGGAGTCCTATAGGAAAGTTGGAGGAATGACTGAGGGAGCCAGAGGGGTCAAGGACTCTACAAGCAGACCTACAGAGTCAACTAACCTAGTCCCATGGGGGGTCACAGAGACTAAAGCTCCAACCAAAGAGCACACAGGGACTGGTTCTAGGGCCCCTGCACATATGTAGCAGATGGACAGCTCTATCTTCACATGAATCCAACAACTGGAGCAGGGCACCTCTCTGGCTCTGATGCTTCCCTTTGGATCCCACTCCTCTAACTGGGCTTCCTTGTCTTGCCTCAGGAGGAGAGGATGCACCTAGTCCTGCAGTGACTTAATGTGTCAGGGCAGGTTGGTGCCCATGGGAGACACCCTCTTATCTGAGGAGATGAGAGTAGAATGGGAGAGAGGGGTGTGAGAGGGGGTACTGGGAGGAGAGAAGGGGGCTACAATCAGGATGTAAAATGAATGAATGACTTAATAAAAGATGTTTCTTCAACACGCAGTTAATATTTCTCTTGTATTCTTGAGTGCTCTGAAGAGAGTATGCATAGGCAGTATGAGATGGAGTTCAATTTAGGATCTCTACATAGTTTAACCAGTGTTGCTGTGTTTATTTGTGTGTGGAGTGGGTGGATATGGTACAGTGTAATGTGCTGTGACAGATATGTGTGGAGGTCCGAGGATAACCTGCATCAGAGGGGCTGTCCTTTCATGGGGGGTTCAGGGATGGTACTCAGAAAGCAAGCACCCTCAGCTGCTGAACCATCCTCTCACTGGCAGTTTAGTTTATTTTGTTTGTGCTATTCATGCATCAGGACTATTTCTAGAACTTTTCTCTGTTTCATTAACTATTTTTTCATTTTCACACCACTGAAGTAGTACTACCTTACTACTTATAACATTTTAATAAATTGATGTATAAAAACAAAAAATTAAAATGCCTAATCTAATTTGAATTCCCACTAACCTGTAAGATAAAATTACAGTGTTTTTATTTATGAACATATGTAAAGGAAAAGGTTTCTTTTTTTCTGTTTTTTTAATTTTAATTTTATTAATTACACTTTATTCACTTTGTATCCCCCCCATAAATCCCTCCCTCTTCCCCTCCTAATCCCACCTTCCCTCCCCCTTCTTCACACATGTCCCTCCCCAAGTCCACTGATAGGGGAGGTCCCCCTCTCCTTCCTTCTGATCTTAGTCTATCAGATCTCATCAGGAGTGGCTGCATTGTCCTCTTCTGCGGCCTGGTAAGGCTGCTCCCCCCTCAGGGGGAGGTGATCAAAGAGCAGGACAATCAGTTTATGTCAGAAGCAGTCCCTGTTCCCATTACTATGGAACCCACTTGGACACTGAACTACCATGGACTACATCTGTGCAGGGGTTCTAGGTTATCTCCATGCATGGTACTTGGTTGGAGTATGAGTCTCTGGGAAGACCCTGTGTTCAAATTTTTTGGTTCTGTTGCTCTCCTTGTGGAGTTCCTGTCCTCTCCAGATCTTACTATTTCCCTCTTCTTTCATAAGATTCCCTGCACTCTGCCCAGCAGTTGGCCATAAATCTTAGCATCTGCTTTGATAGTCTGCAGGCAGAGTCTTTCAGAGGCCCTCTGTGGCAGGTTCCTAACTTGTTTCCTGTTTTCTTCTTCTTCTTCTGTCCATCCTCTTTTCCTTTCAGAATGGGGATTGAGCATTTCAAGTCAGGGCCCTCCCTCTTGATTAGTTTCTTCAGATGTGCAGATTTTAGTAGGTTTATCCCATATTATATATCTATATGAGTGAGTATATACTGTGTGTGTCTTTCTGCTTCTGGGACAGCTCACTCAGGATGATCCTTTCCAGTTCCCAGGAAAAGGTTTCTTATCTTCAAATTATTTAGATGTTTTCATGTCACAAACAAGTTAAAAATAAACACTTTATTTTCTAAGTTGTTATGTTAAAGGCAAAAAATATTTTTTATTTGCCATTAACATCACATTTTTTTTTCCCAGACAGGGTTTCTCTGTGTAGCCCTGGATGTCCTGGACTCACTTTGTAGACCAGGATGGTCTTGAACTCACAGAGATCTGCCTACCTCTGCCTCCCTGAGTGCTGGGATTAAAGGCATGCCCTACCATGCCTGACTAACAACACATTCTTTTCCATAGTTGTTCTCCATTTCTACAAACAATAATGACAAAAGTCTAGAATGTCATGTTAAGAAATTAGTTTCCCTTTTATTTTAATTGCTTATTTATTTTGGTTTAGAGACAGAATCTTGCTCTATAACCTGAGCTGGCATCTAATTTATAGTAATCCTTCTCCCTTAGTCTCCTAAATGCTGGGTTGCTAGGTAAGAACCACAGTACCCAAACCCATTTTCATATTTGTTGTTTTTATCTTTTTAACTAGTCTGATTTCATTTATTTATTTATTTGTTTGTTTGTTTATTTATTTATTTTTATTCACAATTTTTTCATCATATAACCTGACTGAAGCCCCCTCTCTCAACTCCCCCCAGTCCCACCCTTCGTATCCCCTTCCACTAGTCCACTGAAAGGGGGAGTTCTCTACCACTGCCATCTGCCCATAGCTTGTTAAGTCTCATCAGGACTGCCTGGATCCTCTTTCTCAGTGGCCTGGCAAGGCTGTATCACCACAGGTGATCAAAGAGCAGGCAACCGAGTTCATGATAGAGGCAGCCCCTGCTCCCCTCACTTGGAGATCCACATGGACACTGAGCTGCCAATCAGCTATATCTGAGCAGAGGATCAAAGCAGATGCTGATACTCATAGTCAAACTTTGGGCAGAGCGCGGGGAGTCTTATGGAAGAAGAGGATTGTGGGGATAGAGGGACATAGAAGAGACCAGGAGCCCCATAAGGAGACCAACAAAGCTAAAGGATCTGAGCCCAGGGGTTCATGCAGAGACTGATGCTCCAACTGCAGATCATGCAGGGAGAGGACCTAGACCTCCTGCTCAGATATTTTTCTTTTTTAACTTGACTCTTGAGAGTTTCAAATATCTAATCAAGTTTTTTAAAAAAAAATTTAGTTATTATTTAATACAATTTATTCACTTTGTATCCCTGCTCCCTCATCTCCTCCCAGTCCCTCCCTCCCTCCCTCTTCTCCTCCGATGCCCCTCCCCTAGTCCACTGATAGGGGAGGTCCTCCTCCCCTACTATCTGGCCCTAGCCTATCAGGTCTCATCAGGACTGTCTTCCTCTGTGGCCTGGCATGGCTGAACCTCCCAGGGGAAGGTGATCAAAGAGCCTGCCACTGAGTCTAGTCAGAAATAGTCCCTGATCCCCTTAATAGGTAACCCACTTGGAAACTGAGCTGCCTATGGGCTACATCTGAGCAAGGGGTCTAGGTCCTTTCCATGCATGGCCCTTGGTTGGAGCATCAGTCTTCACAGCTTCCCCTGGGCCCAGATTTTTTGGCTCTGTTGGTCTCCAATTCACCATAAGGACATCTAATCCTGAATATCAACAAGTTTCATAACAGTGACGCTTTTGATTGCCTTTTGCTCTATTTTCAAAATTCCAATGTCTAGAATGGTCATCATTGACCATCTAAAGCTCTGTTTTCTAGCCATTAATTGGGTATCAAGTAGTTAGTAGAAAGAGACTTGGAAGACTTCCAGAAAATTCAGAGCCAGATATCTTTTTTTTGACATGACATTGCTTTATAAACCAGGCTGGCTTCAAACTCTATCTTTTCAAGTGCAAGGATTATGGGCATGTGCCATGCCTGGTATAGGCCAGACTTAATGTGAATACTTGCTTTGTTTGAATACTGTCACATGTTTAAATAAAGTGTTATCTCTTGTTATATTTTAATGATTTTTTTTTTCTTGTTCCCTAGATGTTTTAAAAATCAAGAGTGATGCTGGGCCACAGAGGAAGAGGATACAGGCAGTCCTAAGGAGACTTGATAGGCTGGGGTCAGATGGTAGGGGAGGAGGGCTCCCTCTTTCTGAGGACTAGGAGAGGGGGATAGGGAGGAAGAAGGAAAGAGGGTGGTATGGGAGGAAAGAAGGGAGGGGGCTATAATTGGGATGTAAAGCAAATAAATTATAAAAAATATAAAAATTAAAAAAAGAAAATTAAGAGTGAACTCTGTAAATACAAATATAGCATAAACTTAAGACTTGGTCTCATAAAACATTTAAATATAATTAAGACATACCTCTATTTCTTTTCTTAATTTTTCATGTGTCTTTTTCTCTTCTTCAAGAAAATGTGTTTTCTTGATAATTGAATCTTTTGCTGTCATAATTTTATTCTTTAGCTCTGCAATGTCTTCCTGGATATTTGTAAAATTTAAAAGATACAAGTCAAAATAAATTCAAGTACTTTCGTAATTTATGAAAACTAGCAAAATCAAGATTTAAATTTGGAAAATAGGATTAGAACATTACCTTCATAGCTACACAAGATAAAGAACTATTACTTACACAAAGCAAACCTGGACTGGAAAACCCAAACTGAAAACAAAATAAGACATAAAGAAAAGTGGTAATTGTGTTGACGATTCCTAAAAAAATGGTACAAAGGATTTTTTTTTTTTTTTAAATTCTGTAGTAAGAAGAGGCAGATATTTTGAGTCAGTATCTTCTATGGTCTTCAAAGAACAATAAGAAAAATACAAAGCTACCCAATGTGCAATTATGAAGTCAGTGTCTTTGTATAATAGCATTAATCACATAAACTGATTTGGTCTAGATTCATTAGAATAGAAGCTAGAAGCTGAACATTTTTGATGATTTACAGTTTTGCAGCAAATGGATTCACTGTTCACTGTGATTTTGACCATATATTTATTTATTAATCCATGATGATCTATAAATATCTCCTTTAAGAATCTGCACATTCAGGAGGTTGAAGAGATGGCTCAGAGGGTAAGAGGACTACCTTTTTTCCAAAGGTCCTGAGTTCAATCCCCAGCAACCACATGGTGGATCATAACCATCTACAATGAGATCTGGTGCCCTCTTCTGGCCTGCAGGCACACATGCAGGCAGAATGCAGTATAAATAATAAATAAGTAAATCTTTTTTTTTTTTTTTTTTTTAACAGAATCTGTGCATTCGGGAAATTGCTATTTAGCTTATCTATCTGATTGCTATGTGTACTTACTTAAGTTTTAAAAAACTGTGAAAATAGTTTCTGAATCTATGACTATAGATATTTTATTAGCTTAATTATTATTTACTAGGTATACTTACAGAAAACAGAAAGGCTTTGATAAGTAACATTTCATACCTGTATTTGTATTGTATAGTTCCTTTGTGAATTTTGGGGATTTTCTGTAAGATCTTCTTTCATTGTTTTTATGTTTTTGATGAGATCTCGTTTTTCATAGAGTTCAGTCATAAGTGAACACTGGCCTTTTATCTCTCCTAAACTATCTTTATGAGCTTTTATCTTTGCATAATATGCATTATATTTTATCATTTGTTCCTCAAAATTTTCTTGGGCTGTTTCTGTATCAAATTTAAGCTTTATACTTTCTGAATATAAGGACTCAATTTGAGCTTCCAAGAGTCCACACTGAAGTTTAGAATTCTCCATGATAGCATCTTGCTGATGCATTTTCCTCTCTGTTTCTTTAGCTTCTTCAGCAATAGCTGCTATTTGCTTTTCAAGATCATGAAGTTCAATCTGTAATATATTTCATAAATGTCATTAATGATTAATTCATTGTACTCAACTGAGAGGAATGTTGTTATTTTAACTCATAATGCACATAACAAATCACATTTACGAGTGAAATGTATATTTTTATACATTTACAAGATAAAGAAAAAATGATGATAGTAGGAGACATGTAATACCAAAATATATACTTATTTTAGAACCACAGAAGGGCCCCAAAGCTATATATTTCTTACTTGTTCATCTAGTTCTAAAGTATTAAAATTATATAATTTTATGTGTAAAGGAAATACTTTGTCATCTTAAAAATGCATTTATAGGCACCAGAAATATTTTAAAAAAAATAGTATGATAAAAATTATACAGCCCAGAGTTAAGTAACCTAAAGACTAGGTTTCAGTGCCTTTACTGCTTTTTACCAATCTCTTTGATCACACATGACAAGCTTTGTTACCCCAATCCAAATTTCATTTTCTTCATTTGCAAAATGAAGATAAAGTTATCTATTTTGCCTTCACAGGAAAGTCCTTGCTTACTGATTCCTCCTTTTTAAAACCTAGTTTTCATATTACCAGTGTTCCTTGGCTCTTCTTGGTCATCTCTATTTCTTCTCAGTCTCAACAATTCCTTCAAATATGGAACTTCCACAGTGTTCAGTCACCATATTTTCTCTTACCATTCTCTCTCTCTCTCTCTCTCTCTCTCTCTCTCTCTCTGTGTATATATATATATATATATATATATATATATATATATATATATATAATTACATACAATCCCATCTTAAGCCATTTTATGGTGACAGTTCACAGACCATCATGGTTATTGAGTTCTTACTCAACTGCCATGGACCACTTCAAATTCACGATGTCCCCAAATCAGACTTCCATAACCTATTTGTATGTGTATCAGTTATCAATTGCACAACTACAAAATCTCAGCGACATACAATACAGTGTATTTATCATAGACATGCCTGGGAGAAGTCGGTGTTGCTAGGTAATGCATACGGTTGAGAGCAGGGAGCTCTGCCTCATCCTTCTGTTGATTTTGTTTAGGTTTGCTCCTATGCCTAGGGATTGTTGTACTTCTTTTTTTAAATGGCTTTTAGGAGAAACACACTTCAAGTCCTATTAAACAAGGACTATGTATTTACTGAGTTATTTGTTTGGTCATTTCTTCAGAAGAATTGATACAAAACACAAAAGGTACCAAGCATCTAAAGCAATCCATAGTGGAGAGAGCACTACTCCTGATACTTCAGTACCCAATCTAAAATCCTGCCATGGAGCCACAGTAACAACAGAATAAAACAGACATGTAGACCAAGAGACTAGAATAGAGGACCATATATAAACCTACACAGTAACAACTACCTAATTCTGAACAAAAGCTGTCAGATGGATGGATGGATGGATGGATGGATGGATGGATGGTCCTGGGATGGCCCTTTTTGGTTGAAGATGAGATGTCTCAGCTTCCTGCTCTACTTACCTGCTTCCATTCCTCATAGCCATTATGGAGTCCCCCTGCCCCCAGAACTATAATCCAAAATAAACTTTTTCTTTTATAAGTTGCCTCTGGTCCTGATGTTTTATTATAGCAAAATAAAAGTAATTAATACAGTAGTGAAAATAAAAACACAACTTATTAGAACCTTTGGAATACAGCTAATGCAGTTCTAAGAGGAATGTTTATAATGAATGTTAATATAAAACAATTAAAAATATCTAAAATAAATAACCTAATGATGTACCTCAATGTCCTTGAAAACTCAAGAACAATGTAAACTTTAAAGCAGCAGATGGCAGGAAATAGTAATGATAATGACATAAATTAATTAAATGGAGTTTACAAGAAACTTATAAAATTGGTTCTTTGAAAATAAATAATATTGACAAATTCTTAGCCAAACTAACCAAAAGAAAATGATATGCACTAGCAAGATAGCTCAGTAAGTAAAAGTGCTTGCTGCCAAGTCTGGCAACTTGCATTCCATCTTCAGAAATCAAATAGTGAAAAGGGTGAATGAACGCCTGTAAGTTGTCCTCAGACCTCCAATAATAGCACACTAGTGTAAATACATACACTCACAAATAAATAAATAAATAAATAAATAAATAAATATAATTAAAGAAGAAATAAACTAACAAAATTATAGATGAAAAATGAAAAATTATTACAGATAGCAACAAAATTCAAGTTATCATTAGGGAGTAGTTTGAAACTCATATGCCAAGAAACTGAAAAGATAGAAGAAACAGATAAATTTCTAGATGCAATGACCTACCAAAATCAAATTGTGAACAACTTAAACAGATCCATAATCATCACTGAGATTAAAGCAGCAATAAAGAAAACTTTCGAACAAAGAAAACTCCAGAGAAATTCACTGACAAATTCTACCAAACCTTTCAGAGCTAAAACTAAGGCTCCTCTTGATCCAGCCATCTCCTATAACCAAGAAAGGTTTCCAGCAGTGGTACTGGGACACTAATCCAGCCTCAAAACCTTACACCTACAATCTGTCCTGTCTCCAAGATGTGCTGGGGTAATGGTGGTGCAGAGCTTCTGGGAGTGACTAACCAATAACTGGTCCAACTTGAGACCCATCATGAGAGGGGGCCCATGCCTAACACTGCTTAGATGTCCAGGAACTAGGGGCTGGATAGCTCAGAGGCCCAGGATAGAACCAAACACGACTGGGAAAAATTCAATGAAATGATTACCAATGATATCTGCTGTATGCATAGATCACTGCCTAGCCCAACTGTCATATCAGAGAAGTGTCAACCAGTAGCAGATAAGTGCAGGTGCAGAGACTCAAAGCCAAACACCAGGTAGAAACAGGGGAACCCTGAAGAACGGGGAAAGGATTTCAAAATCCAGAGGGATTGAGGACTCCACAAGAACACAGCCCACAGAATCATCTAATTAGGGCTCATAGGTGGATCACAGAGACTGAAGAAACAATCATGGACCCTGTAAGGTCTGAGCTAAGTCTTCTACATATATGTTATGGTTTTGTAGGTTGGTGTTCTTGTGGGACTTCTTACAGTGGGAGTGGAAGGTGTCCACTCTTTGCCTGTACTTGGAACTCTTTTCCTCCTACTGGGTTGTCTTGTCCAACCCTGATATGAGGGTTTGTACCTAGTCTTATTGTAAGTTGTTAATGATTTGTTTAGATTATATCCTTGGGAGGCCTGCTTCTTTTTAAGAGAAACAGAGGAGGAGTGGATCTTGGGTGCAGGGGGCCTGACAGGGAAAAGTGGAGGGAAGGGAAACTGTTGTTGGGATGTAATTATAAAGGAGAATAAAATAATAAAAAAGAAAAGCATTATTTTAACAATATTGATATCTATTTTAAATATAATCGATAGGCATTGTGGGTTCCATTTAGTAAGCTTTTATATAAGGCTGTATAATAATCGTTTTCATATTTCACATATGTATATCTTCACTTATGTTTTCTGGGAGAAAACAGTGAATTTTGCTCAATAAATTGATGATATTATTTTGGAAATAATATGATAAATATGCCTTTCTATAAAGGCATCATCAGGATGTCAATAGCAGATAGAGGCATAAGGAAGAAAGAAAATTGTAGACCAAAATCCCTGATGAATACACATAGAAAAACTCTCAATAAAGTTCTATCAAACTGAACTCAAGAGCACATGAAGAAGATCATGTGCACTGACCAAGTTTGTTCCATTACAGGGATGCAAGATTAGCCTAATACATGCAAATTGGGAAGTGTAACTCAACAATAAGCAGAATTAAGGAAAGAAACCACTTAAGATTACCTTGGTCAATGTACAAATGTCATTTGTCAAAATTCAATAAATAATAATAATTCATAATAAAATCTTTGAAGAAATTATTAACATAAAGTTAATACATCAACATAGTAAAGGCTATATTTGACAAACCTATAGTTAACATTATATTAAGTAAGAAAAATCTAAGAGCATTTATTCTAAAGTCTTGAACAAGGGTACCTACTCTTACCATTTTTTAAACTACTTTTCAATTTTAAAATAGTTTGTTTTCATTTTTAATCATGCATAATATATATATGTATATATATACACATACACATACACACATACATACCTGTGTGTGAGCTTGTGAACATGGGTGCACCACCCATGGAAGCCAGAAGAAGACATGGATACTCTGGAGCTGGAGTTAGAACTAGATGTGAGCTATCTGACATGGGTTCTGGGAACTGCATTTTGGTCCTCTATGAAAACACTGTGCTCTGTTAACTGCAAAGCCATCTCTCCAGCCCCCTCTACATAGTGCTCAAAGTCTTAGAACAATAAATCAAGAGAAATGGATAAAATGAGATAAACTGGAAAGGAAAAAGTCAGATTGTTCTTATTTGCAGATGACATAATCTAATAATCTGAAAGACCCTAAAGATTCTACCAGAACACTCTTAGAACTGATAAATGCTTCTAGCAAAACAGCAAGACAAAAAAAATTATTAAATAAAAACTAGTAGCTTTCTATATATAACAAATGCACCAAGAAAGATAGTGAAAAATCCTATTCATAATAGCTTTAACATACCTAGGAATAAGGCTAGCCAACAAAATAAAAGAGCACTACAGTGAAAACTCAGCTCTGGGGGAGGATCGGCACTTCAGACAAATTTCTGGAGCTGGCCAACCTGCCAGCTTAGCCAAGTTGGTGCCCTCCACATTTGTTGAGAGACCTTGTCTTAAAAGATAAGGAGAAAAATTATTGTGGAAAGACAACTGATTTTGACTTCTGGCCTGCATGTGAACATGCACAAACATGCATGTACTGCCACCTATGTATGTACACATATACATATATCCATACCCTGACACACACACACATATCCTTACACAGGATATAGACAAGGCATAGATAAGAATTTTTCTGACTTGGTTTCTGATAACACAGGATGTAATTCTAAAAAATTGATATGCGATTACATGAAACTAAGATGCTTCTGCACTGCAAAGGAAATA